GGGGGGGGGGGGGGGGGGGGGTCTAGCCTAATGGACAATTTGGTATGCAAATAGGCATGATATTTCATTATGTCTACAACCAATTTATTCCAATAGATACAGTCCCAGTCCAATGCAGACAGTGGTCACCTTTGCTATTCAATCTATCTTAGATTGTTATTGTATTTGTATGCATCTCATATCTATTCTAATACTTTTTAAGTTTTGGGCAGGTCAGATTGCTAGTTGGGGTTCTTAAAGCAGTTGGCAGTGGTGATCTAACAGTACCCGATGGTATGACCGTACAAGCTTTGCTTTATAGGCATGCGGGAAGTCATAACTTTTTGAACTAATTATAATCGCTTTCCATTTGTTGCACCTTTTCAGTTGATCGCATCCTCAAAGCAAAGACTGTAACTGCTGCAAGTCCTATGGCACCCGCATGTGGTCTATACCTTGGGCATGTGAAGTATGATCTGCCTTCAGATGTATGAGAACAAGAGATTATACGGATAATATAGCCATCTTTGTTATTACGTGCCAATTATGGCATCACGGTCTTACTATTCCAGTTAAGGTCACACTTTTGTGAGGGAAACATTACCTAGTTAATGATGTAGTCGGCAGAATGTTTGGTTTTGTTTTTAAGGCTTCATCTTTGCAGGAGGTCTTTCAGGCAACTTGGCCAAACAATTTTCAGGTTGTGAGTTCCAACGTTTTTGTAGCTGTATGCAAGGCAATAAGCTATATCTATCTAACCTGAGTTAGGAAGTTTAAATCAGGTCATGCCTAGAATATTTAAGAGCCCGACCATGTATATATTACGCTTGTCCGAGGTTTTCCCCCTTTTCTAATATTAAGCTGGCCAGGTTTTCCCTTTCCAAACCACCCCTTTACCAGTTTTTAACCAATTTCACATGGATTCCTCATAAAGATTGGATGGTGCAAGGTGGGCTACTTTTGATGGTCATGTGCCACATATATTGTTACCATTTTAATTCCACAGATCACGATTTCACAAGTTCTACAAAAAATTTGCTGCTGATTGTTCGATAGGGAAATTGTTTTCAAAGGATGCAACCACAGATGTAGCAATGACAGGCTTGGTGTGTACACCTACATATAGTTTAGCAATTTACCGTAGTGCAATTTATCAGTGCTCCAATATTTACTTCCAAGGCGTTGCAACTACGTTTTAGTAACCATAGCACACCAACGTCAAGGCAGGAAATACTCAGAAATTTTTCCGATGATTGCCCATGAATCCTACACTATTTACACGAAAACATTTATCCCAGTAACTAATAGGATATAAATACTTCCACAAATAAATTACAAAATCTTTGATAGAGAGAAATCACAAAAAAGGGTATGTTGTTGCCTTTTTGAAAGGATTAAGAAGCACTGAAGTAATGTCCGTTAGTACCCATTTTGGGAACGTCTAGTGCCAAAGTCACTAAATGGGTAAGTCTCCCGATTGAGTTTCAACTATTGGTAAGGTAGGATCTAGTTCCTCCACCATCGCGAATACAAGGCATGTTACACTTTTTAGTTATTGGCAGAATTTAAATACTTTCTTTCGAATTTAGGAAACAACTCTCGGACATCTTTCCAAAATATGCTAGGCATACATCTATGAGTCATTAGATGAAACTGGCATCTAGAAATAAAAATAAATCAAGCGAGCATCGACACGCTTTGCTACATTAAATGTGGCACTACCTGTTTTAACAGTATTAGCAGAATTATTACACCTTCATTGATAGTGAAATTGCAAGAATGAAGTGCTCAAAGGTGTAACACAGCAAGGCAATAGGCAAATTGAATTGCGATGCAATAGAATGTCCAGGTGGAGGAAGGCTGTAGAGAGGAAGAGGAAGGGCGGTGCAGTAAGGCACCTCTACATATCCATTTCTACACATTCAAAGAAATCTGCAGTAAGGCACCTCCACTTGTTCTTTTATTTATTATTATTAATTTATGCCAATTTAAAACTTCAATGAACAGGTTAGTTGAGTTTAGTGTGCATCATCTTTTGCGGGGAGGGATGTGCTGTTTGTCAAAAGAAAAACACATTAGCAGGTAATACATAATTGGCATGTTAAATGTTAAGGGCCTCGGATAGGCCAGGTAGGATAGTGATGGAGAGTATGAGACTGAGTCGCTTATTGTATCTCTTATTTTAAGAGGTAAATTACTGAAACAGTAAAAGAGAAGAACTTTTGTATTGATTCGAGTAATTTGAAGGTGTGTAAAGAGAATATATTGAGTTCAGTTCATGGGGGAACATTGCAATCCTTTTTACGGACCTAAATTGAGCAATTTGGTTGTCCACCATTAAATCAGCTACAGTATTGATCTTAATATGTGTGTCGTCGACTTGGAAATTATTGACATTTGAGGTTGACTTCTGTAAGTCATGATGATGTTGGAGTGGTGGGTCATCATTGTAAACTTGTAATTGGTCAAAATCTTGGTTCCATCATCATGATTGCCACATGTCATCGCAAGAATGGCCCTAAGAAAGGTGGTGATATCACCATGCAGTGTGTGAAATTAGAGTGTGATAATGATATTTTCAAGATGACGAAGGCATATTCTCACATCAAATTCTTTTGATCAAGCTAACTGGAGGCTCTGTAATGAATCTTTTATGATATGTCACATTAAATTCCCAGTTTGAAATTAACATAATCCGGATTTCATCTTAATAATTTTGGTGATCAACAATCTGCAATTGGATAAGTGATGCTTTGGCACGGAGTATTTTGTCTTGGATGAAGTTGTGTTGTCGGAGTGACCCTTTTGTTGTAGAGAGATAATGTAACACAATAGTTCCCCTAAATTGAAGCATGGATATTGATATAATGCATAGACTTAAAGTGTTTATGGTGTATCAAGGCCTTTCATGACAGCTTGTGCGAACTTAAGTGATGTAGAGTCAAACGATGGTAAGGAGTTCGACACAAATTACTGTCATAGGTGTCATTCCACCTATCCTAAAGTTCAAGGAAATTAAATGATTTTGAAAAGTAGTCATTCTACAGCATAGATCGAATGCATGAAGTGTGGACTAACATGTTGACTTGATAGGATGACTGTTGTAAAGATGTCACATCAATCAATCATAACGAATCTTCTGAGGGGTGCCTTCTTGTGCTTGAAGTCTAGTCACTTCAGATTGGTGCTGCTGCAGGTTATATCGCCTTACCTTGTCCATGGAGGGTTTGACGAAGTGCATGAATTCGACTTCTTAAGAACATCGGATAGGTCAGGCAAGATAGTGATAGGCATGTGGACCTGAGTTTACTTGTTACATGGCGTCACGTGACCATTTTTTGGAATCTCGTTGAATGAGGCTTAACAATTAATGTACATAAACACAAGAACAGGACGAGTCTGCCATGAAGGTGATAGTTGATCAAGAGCATACATATTGCTGTAGAGACTAAACAAGAGAAATATGGTGAAGAAAGTGCGTGAATGCGCCTTTGTGCAGATTTCATATAATCGAGACTGGACTGTTTTTCCAATTTTGCAGGTCAAAGGCGCGCCTTTTGTAATGGTTTAGCGATTTCCTTGCTAGTGTTATTAGATTAACAAAACCGTATTATAAGGGTCAAACATACCGTATATGATTGTAGAGTAACGTGACTCCCTCAACGAGTTATAGTTTTAAATAATAGTCTATGACCTGACACGATAACAAGAATAAGAAGGAATCATTACGCGTTTCTTATTGGTGCATTTGAAGTCAAAGTTCTCCACGTGCTCTCCTTCAACACCTACGCAAATACAAGAAACTTCTCATAGCCATCGCTTCAAGGAAACACCTAACATTTCTTTGCCGTGAGAAACTTCTCCACCTACCAAAGTCCACCATCTTCGACAAAATCTATAAAAACTTGAGATCAACAATGTAATTTCAGCAAAAGAGCACCAGTTCATCGTAATTACTCAAATAAATCATCGACGATGTCTATTAGACAAAGACCATCACCATCTAATCCACCGTCCACCTCCCCCTCCCCCTCCGTGACTCCAACTCCGCCGCCGCTGCCCCGGGGCGCTCTCTCTCAAGCATTAGAAAGCACAGCCCACCTCGCCAATCTCCTCCCCACAGGCACCCTTTTAGCCTTCCAACTCCTCACACCAATCTTCACCAACAACGGCGTCTGCGATGCCGCCACCCGCCCCATGACCGCCGCCCTCCTCGTAATCCTTGCTCTGTCCTGCTTCCTCGCATGTTTTACCGACAGCATAAAATCACTGGACGGTCAAATCTACTACGGGTTTGCCACCGTCAAAGGGCTATGGCTGTTTGACAACACAGCTGCAACAGCCGCCGGGCCGCTTCCTGACCTGAGCAAGTACAGGTTAAGTTTCATCGATGCAGTTCATGCAGTTAGTTCTGTACTCGTGTTTGTTTCCGTTGCATTGAGAGATAAGAATGTGACGAGTTGCTTTTATCCAACGCCGGGGCATGAGGCTCAGGAGGTTTTGGATATTGGTCCGATTGGAATAGGGTTGATTTGCAGCTTGTTGTTTGTGATTTTTCCTACAAGAAGGCATGGTATTGGTTACCCTGTAACACGAGATTGATGATTTTTCATCAATGAGTTAAGATTAAATTGTTCATTAATTAGTTGTATCGTTATAAGACTTTGATAGTCACTCGAGATATTGTTAAGATTAAATTGTTCATTAATTAGTTGTATCTTTATAAGACTTTGATAGTCACTTGAGATATTGTCAAGAATTCGAGTCGAGATAAAGATGGTTGTGATCAAGAAAATTAGATGGAATTCGTTCATATCTATCGATACTATAAACTCGAAATGTTGGATCATTTTTTATTTGGGTAATTAGCACATAACGTTCCCACATTTCGCTGTTATTGTGGAAAACGTCCATATCTTTTATTTATTGAGAAATTTGATGAAAATTATGGTTTACGCAATTAAATGTGTAATTAATGGTGAAAATGTCAAAAAAATGAAAGGTATAGACGTTTTTCGCAATAACAGTGAAAGATATGGACATTATGTATAAATTATCTTTTTAATAATTTATTTGGGACTAATTTGAACTTTTTAAAAAATTGGGACTATAGTTGCAATTAATTATCTTTTTCTTTTATTTAAAGAGAATTGTGTATTCGTCATTTTACAATTTTTAATTGAGAAAATAAATGAAAATGACCTTTTGCGCAATGAAATGTGAAAATGTCAAAAAATGAAAGGTATGGACGTTTTTCACAATAACGACGAAAGGTGGGGACATTATGTGCTAATTATCCTTTTTATTTTATTTTTGTTAAACAACTTAAGGCCCTGTTTGAACCACTTTATTGTAGATTGAGAATGAAAAATATAGTCGTTATTTGGGCCCACACAAGAGATAGAAAATTTGAATTTAAATGTTGATGTAATGGATAACGGTCATATTTTTCATTTTAATAAGATAAAAAGGTGGCCCAAACAAGGGCTAATAATCAATTATATTTATCTCGACTCGAATTCTTGTAAGCCATAATATCCACAAGAATCTTGTTTTGGGTCACTGGCAAATTCTTCTTTTTCTTATTAGCTAGTTTGAATTGGTACAAGTCTATGACTAATCGAACCAATTTGACAAGAGGAATTTGCAAGGAAGAAGGGTAAAGAATAGGAAAAGAGTTGCCAGCAAACTAAATCAAAAACAAAAAGAAAGAAGTTTTAATCAGATCGAATCGTTCATTTGAACTAAATGTGCTATAACATATTTGATGTTCTATATCAAACGATCAACTTTGTGTGTTGTTGTTTATTTATTTCGTATTTATTCAAGTTAGATTTAATTAGCATAACACAGTAATTAATTTGTATGAATATAATCAACTTTATTGACTATCAAAGGCACATCAAAATTGACTACTAAATGCACATTTGTCAAAAAAAATTATTGTGAAGAATGGGTTATTGTGGCGGCCTGATGATTATTGGAAAGTTCCTCTGTTTGGGTTTAACGCAAAACTCAACTATACAAACTTGAGGAAACTTCCAAGCGATAGAATAAGGAGATCGGCGACTTGACTTTCGCGAGGAAGAGGCCATTTTGGTGCAGTTCGAAGTGTTAAGAAGAGGAACCTATGGAATTTCATTTAACTTTGATTTTCTAAAATATAAGTCTAACATTTTTATTTTAATATTAAATCAAAATTAACAATTAATTTTAATTATATATTTTATGGTATACAAAGTTAATAAAAAAATGATTTTAATCTACACTAAACAGAAATTAAATATAAAATATTATTTATTTCAGAAAATTAATACTTAAAAGTTTTACAGATATTTTCTACCATGCCCGTAATTTATGTCTCTTTATGAAAGTGTCTTTAAGTTAATTGTTTCAATAATCAACCAACTTGTATCATGATCACGATTTACTCAATAAAAATTCTAAGGCCCCATTCGGGAGGGATTAAAAGCCAATTAAAATTGAAAATATGGTCGTTATTGGGTCTCACTCGTCTAATAAAAGTCAACAATAACGACTATATTTTCAATTTTAATCTGATTTTAATCCCTCCCACACAAGCCCATCTCATTATTTTTAAAATATATTTGTTTCATCTTCTTTTCAACCTCACATTCTTCAATANCTGAATTTTGCCCGTTTACACTTCATCCATCACCCTAAAAAATATGTTATTTTATTCGTTGACGTGACTAATGAAAATCTCCTATAATAAGTTATGATCGCTAAAATAATAACAATTCAATTAAATCATTGTTTCATTACTCAACCAACTTACATTTGATCACAATTTATTCATCAAACTTCAAAATATTTCCCAACGATCACTTTGAAATGATGTATTCCATCCATCATCAGCCATATTTCATTCCCTTCATTGCTAGTATATCACAAGAAAATCTCACGTGATAAATTACAATCATTAAAAAAATTACAACTCAACCAAACTATCAACTCACCAAAATCACCATATGCGACTTTCACAACCCCATAATCTTCTTTAGAACCTAATAAAGCGTCCCTAATTTCATCCCTAAAAACTCCTAGTCCCTAATTTACTCATCTCACTCATGTACAATTGTGGGATAAGCATTATAAATAGTAACTTCTCACATTTTTCTTAATAATTAGCTCCGTCTCATTACACAATTTAATTGTACATGGGTGAGATGAGTGAATATGAGCTAGGATTTTTTAAGGTTGCAATTGGGAACGCTTTATTGGTTTTAAATTAAGAAATTTTTGGGGCCACAGAAGTCGTACTTCATATATGATGATTTTGGTGAATTGATAATTTTATGGAGTTGTAATTTTTTTAACAATCGTAATTTGCCACTTGGAATTTTTGTACAATATATTAGCCACGAATGGAATGAAATATGGTCGATGATGAATAAAGTACAATATCTCGTAGATGAGTAACAATTGGAGAAGCATTTCGAAATTTGATAGGTAAACTATGACCAATTGTAAGTTAGACGAATAATGAAATAATGGTTTGACCAAGTTACAGTTTTTTTAACTATTGTAACTTGTTATATGAGATTTTCATTAGTTACATCAGTGAATAGGTAATGGATTTTTTAGGGTGATGAATGGTGTGTAAATGGATAAAATTCAGTGAATATTGTTAAACACTTTAAAGTTTAGTAACTGATCATCATAATACAAGTTGGTTTATTATTGAAACAATTGACTTAATTTAGCAGTGTGCATTTCTATTTTCCATCAAGTCTTGCAATACAACATATTCATCGTAACTCCCACTCATCAATCTCTCCGAAGAATAGCTTTCAAACAAATCTAGAATCCAGTATACACAAAATTTGTGATCATAATGTCACTATATCTCTGCTTCAAAGTTAACTTAATCGATGGCCACTAAATTTTACTGTAAGTTACTATTTGCTCACCGAACTTTAAAAAGTCATTCATTGCTCACTGAATTTTGTTACATGTTATTACTTGATCATCAAAATTTATAAGATTACTCATATGGACATTATGTATAAATTACCCTTTTAATAATTTATTTGGGACTAATTTGAACTTTTTAAAAAATTGGGACTATGGTTGCAATTAATTGTCTTTATCTTTTATTTAAAGAGAATGATGTATTCGTCATTTTACAATTTTTAATTGAGAAAATAAATGAAAATGACATTTTGCGCAATGAAATGTGAAAATGTCAAAAAATGAAAGGTATGGATGTTTTTCACAATAACGACGAAAGGTGGGGACATTATATGCTAATTATCCTTTTTATTTTATTTTTGTTAAACAACTTAAGGCCCTGTTTGAACCACTTTATTGTAGATTGAGAATGAAAAATATAGTCGTTATTGGGACCCACACCACACAAGAGATAGAAAATTTGAATTTAAATGTTGATGTGATGAATAATTGTCATATTTTTCATTTTAATGAGATAAAAAATTGGCCCAAACAAGGGCTAATAATCAATTATATTAATCTCGACTCGGATTCTTGTAAGCCATAATATCCACAAGAATCTTGTTTTGGGTCACAGGCAAATTCTTCTTTTTCTTATTAGCTAGTTTGAATTGGTACAAGTCTATGACTAATCAAACCAATTTGACAAGAGGAATTTGCAAGGAAGAAGGGTAAAGAGTAGGAAAAGAGTTGCCATCAAACTAAATCAAAAACAAAGAGAAAGAAGTTTTAATCAGATCGAATCGTTCATTTGAACTAAATGTGCTATAACATATTTGATGTTCTATGTCAAATGATCGACGTTGCATGTTGTTGTTTATTTATTTCGTATTTATTCAAGTTAGATTTAATTTGCATAACACAGTAATTGATTTGTATGAATATAACAACTATTATATTCGAATATAATCAACTTTATTGAATATCAATGGCACATCAAAATTGACTACTAAATGCACATTTGTCAAAAAAAAAAAAAAAAAAATTATTGTGAAGAATGGGTTGTTGTGGCGGCCTGATGATTATTGGAAAGTTCTTATGTGGCAACTCCTAACAATTAATTTTAATTACATATTTTATGGTATACAAAGTTAATAAAAAATTAATTTTAATCTACACTAAACAGAAATTAAATATAAAATATTATTTATTTTAGAAAATTAATACTTAAAAGTCTTACAGATATTTTCTACCATGCCCGTAATTTATGTCTCTTTATGAAAGTCCCTTGAGTTAATTGTTTCAATAATCAACCAACTTATATTATGATCACGATTTACTCAATAAAAATTCTAAATGTTTCATAGTGCTCACTGAATTTTGCCCGTTTACACTTCATCCATCACCCTAAAAAATATGTTATTTTATTCGTTGGTGACTTACGAAAATCTCACATAATAAGTTACGATCGCTAAAATATTAACAATTCAATTAAAGCATTGTTTCATTACTCATCCAACTTACATTTGATCACAATTTATTCATCAAAATTCAAAATATTTCCCAACGATCACTCTGAAATGACGTATTCCATCCATCATCAACCATATTTCATTCCCTTTGTTTCATTCGCTTCGTTGCCAGTATATCGAGAAAATCTCACGTGATAAGTTACAATCATTAAAAGAATTACAACTTAACCAAACTATCAACTCACCAAAATCACCATATGTGAAACGCGACTTTCACAACCCCATAATCTTCTTTAGAACCTAATAAAGCGTCCCTAATTTCATCCCTAAAAACTTCTGGTCCCTAATTTACTCATCTCACTCGTGTACAATTGGGGGATAAGCATTATAAATAGTAACTTCTCACTTTTTTCTTAGTAATTAGCTCCGTCTCATTACACAATTTAACTGTACATGGGTGAGATGAGTGAATATGAGCTAGGATTTTTTAAGGTTGCAATTAAGAACGCTTTATTGGTTTTAAAGAAATTTATGGGGCCGTAGAAGTTGCACTTCATATATGATGATTTTGGTGAATTGATAATTTGATGGAGTTGTAATTTTTTTAACAATCGTAATTTGCCACTTGGAATTTTTGTACAATATATTAGCCACAAATGGAATGAAATATGGTCGATGATGAATAAAGTACAATATCTCGTAGATGAGTAATCATTGGAGAAGCATTTCGAAATTTGATAGGTAAACTATGACCAAATATAAGTTAGATGAGTAATGAAATAATGGTTTGACCAAGTTACAGTTTTTTTAATTATTGTAACTTGTTATATGAGATTTTCGTTAGTTATATCAGCGAATAGGTAATGGATTTTTTAGGGTGATGGATGGTGTGTAAACGGATAAAATTCAGTGAATATCGTTAAACACTTTAAAGTTTAGTAACCGATCATCATAATATAAGTTGGTTTATTATTGAAACAATTGACTTAATTTAGCAGCGTGCATTTTTATTTTCCATCTAGTCTTGCAATACAACATATTCATCGTAACTCCCACTCATCAATCTCTCCGAAGAATAGCTTTCAAACAAATCTAGAATCCAGTATACACAAAATTTGTGATCATAATGTCACTATATCTCTGCTTCAAAGTTAATTTAATCGATGTTTACTGTAAGTTACTATTTGCTCACTGAACTTTAAAAAGTCACTCATTGCTCACTGAATTTTGTTACATGTTACTACTTAATCATCAAAATTTATAAGATTACTCATTACTCACCCAAATTTGAACAAAATTATCCATCAATCACTCGTATCATTTTCATCATTGTCATCCAAAGTTCAGTAAGCAACTAATAACTTGTTCAAATGTAGGTGAGCAACGAATAACTTTTTAAATTTCGGTAAGCAAATAGTAACCAATAACAAAATTTAGTGAGCAGCGAGTAACTTTTAAAAAATCGATAAGCAAATAGTAACTTATAATAAAGTTTAGTTACCGTTGATTAATCTATCTCCTCTGGAGCCAGACGTCCTCCAAGAGTCCCACTCTTCAAACCCATAAACCCCGATTAGCATTTCTACTAGCCCGAAAATATCATCCAAGATTTCCCAAATTTCGTTCTGTTAGAAAAAACTCTGAGCACTTGGGGGCGATTCCAGAAAAACACAGATGGAAAAACTGGTTAGCCACTGCAGCAAGCCTGTACCCTCTCTCCGTCACTGTTGGAGGGGTGGTTGCTTGCATAAGACCCTCCACTTTTTCTTGGTTTGTTAAAAGGCCCCCCTCACTTCTTATAGCTTGACTCTTGGACTCATTATGTTAGCAATGGGGATAAGACATGATCAATTTATTCATGCAAGGGCCTCTTGCGGTCAGCTTCTTATTATCGGCCACTTTTGACTTAGTTTGATGGTTAATCTTACAATTTGAGTTTTTTTTTTTAATGTTTGATTCGTACTCTATTATGTAGTCAAATGTCATCATGTTGGTTTCAGTTTCTCGGACCAAAGAAATGTTGGAATCTTGTTGTTCAAAATTGATGGATTGTTGAATCATGAATGAATGAAAAAGGAAAATGACGCGCCATGAGGAAATTCGGAGGCAACCAAGGTTATAACTATGCGGCCACATAGTTATAACCTATGCGGTCGCATAGTTATAAAATGTGATAGTTGGCTGGGTTTTTTGGAATTTTGTGGTGGTTGATTGATGAAGCATTGCACCTCTTGATTTGAGCTTGGAACCAGTTCGTGTGGGATGGTTGAAACCTATAAATATTTGTTTTGCACGTCAAAATTTTACATTGATTATTCCCAATTTTTTGAGAGAGAATTTTGTCCATTCACATAATCATTTTTTTTTCACTTGTTCATTTTGAAGAATCACTTTGCTTTTGGTGATCTTCATAAGGCTTGTTTAATCTTACAAACTATTTGCCATTAAATCCTTTAAAGCATTGTAGAGGAGGCAAATATTATTTGAGAACAACGATGTAATCTTTGTGTTCAAGCCTTTGCCGGATTTATATTCATCATTTTCTTCTCCTTTGTTTTTTCTCCATTGCTGTAATTATTTTTTCATAACAAGAAATAATATAAGATGTCTCAACTGAACTGTTAAAATTGATAGCATATAAGCGTTTTCAAATTTCAGAGTTTGAGCGATTTTAATCTTGGCCTGTATTTCTTGTTTATTCCTCTTACTCATTGGGACTTTCTGAACCAAAATGTTCTCAGTGCCAAAGAGAAGACATTATCTACACTGTACATACATTTGTTATTCAGAGTTTGGTTACATCTATGCTTTCTGATTTGTAGTGTGTTAATGACTTATGATGCTTGTCTATATGTAATCAAACGGATTACCATGCCTCTCGTTTTATGTAGTCGAATCCAAACATATTGGTAATAAGGCTTGTTTGTTGGTGTGTATATAGAGTATTTAGTATTAACAAAAATCACATTATCGAAGCTTTTGAATTATGCATTGACATTACGTTAAACTCTTTAAAACCGAAACTGAAATATAACCAAATGCTGCTACTCAACCAGAGAAGAGTTTATATTATTTCAAAATTGGGCCTAATTTGATAAAAGGTCAACTGTTTCACGAGTGTCAAGCCACCGATATTTCTGCTTAAGGAATCTATCTTTAAATTCTCTTGCATCAGATACTTTTTGGCTGTGCTGCTCAATACACAATTATGCCGGTATTTGGAATGGCAATTAGCAAGTTTTTGGGGCTCTCACAGTCTCTTTCAGTAGGTTTGATAATTGATATTGCTTGCTTGTTGCCTAGGAGGTACAGCATCCAACGTGTTAAGAACAATCCTTTTTACCCTCTACATTTTACGTGTACAGTCTCCCCCCTTTCCTTTGTACCTTCTAATTTAATGTATGGAAATATCATGAAAGTGCATAGGTCAGAACTATTTCATTAATTGAAATTGGAATCAATTTAAATTAGCCGGTGAAACAACTGAATTTTTCCTATGTAAACATCTTTTTGCTCTTTATTAATGATTTATCCCTGGGTTTTCAAGCTTCAATTTTATTATAAATGGTTAGACTTGGTGTTCTCACTAAGCAATTAGTCGCATGGGTAAAGTGTACCATCTTGATCTCAATTTTCTTTTCTGCTTTCCGCAATCAAGAAGGAATTTATTATCCACCATCTCTATTTTATTGGCTGATTCTTCCATATATGTTTAGTTTTTATATATAATTTTTGATGGCACAATGTTTATAACTCAGTGAAATTACTGTGCTCTTGGTAGCAGTTGCTGTTAATTGCTAGTATGTATAATAATTTGGTGTCCACACTTTCGCAGTTATGGCCTTTTCAATATTATGTTTGAATCATATCGATAAGTATTCAGCTTTCGCGAACTGGTCCTATTAGCTTGTGGGTAAACCTGACAATAATTATGCTGTTTTACTTGTGAATTGTTAAAGGTTCAATTCATTTTTCTCTTCCATTAATAGTGTTACAGGTTACCTTAATTTCTCAAGGAGATGTACCACTGTCCATAGTAATGACGGTATGCACCACACTTGGAGCAGTGATTCTCACCCCTCTTTTGACCAAGATTCTGGCAGGAACTTATGTTCCTGTGGATGCTGTGAAAATCTCCATCAGCACCATGCAGGTCAGACAATATTATCTTATACTTTCCAACAGTACTTCTTCCTATGCATTTTCTCATGGTCGTAGCCTCATCTGTTTAGGTTGTTGTCGCTCCAATTCTGCTAGGATCATATATGCAGAGCGCCTTTCCTGAAGCTGTAAAAGTGGGGATGCCTATTGCACCATTACTGGCTGTTTTAGCTGCATCACTGCTTGCTAGCACGTCCTAGTCGTAGAAATAATGTGCTTACTTTAAGTGGTTCATTCTGATCAGTCTCCACTTCTTCAAGCTAAAGCAATACTCTCGGGTGAATTGGGGGTTATTTTGCTTTCAGTGATGTTGCTGCATTTTGCAGGTTTCTTCGGGGTAAGATTTTCCATTCTATTCTGTTAACAGTGATCTGAACCCAAAAGCATCCTTACTCATCAGGTGATAGAATAGGGAAATGGGAACATCACCATTGCAGTAACGCTGATTGACCTGAAAGTATCAGTTTCCTACCCTGAACACCCATATCAGTTCTACATGGATTGATTGCACAAAGATTGATATTTTAATAGCAGTTTTGCCAATTTATTATTAGGGCTTTAGGATCCATTTTAAAATGTCAACCTTGTAAGAGGAGTAGCCCAAATCCTTACATATCATATTATTTTTTTCTTAATTCGATGTGGTATAATAACCTTAACATCCCTCCTAAGATAGTGACTCGTTTGAGAATCCCAATCTTGAAATCTGATTGCTCGTGTGAGCTATAGACGGATTAAATTACTTGTTTGAGCTTAATGGTCTTTGGTACCATATTAAGACTTGGAGTTCATCTTACAAGGTCAATGTCGTTAAGAGTAATAATATAAGTCCTTATATACGATGTATGTTAATTTCATCTTTATTTTGGTTGCTATTTCATTTGTCTGGTTCTGCAATTGTTACTGCTATGGTTTCTTTCTTGGAGTCACCATAATCGTTTTCCACTTGCTAATCTACCGATTCTACCCACGAGCGAACCTAGGCAATTTGTATGTCCTATTGCAATGTGAATGAGATTGAAGAGACAGTTTGTTTGTTTGGTATATGTCGTTATTTATTCCTTGGGTCTACATTCCGATTCTTCATGAAGTGCTATTGGTTTAATTAAGTCTCAGGTCATTTGACTTTGATAACTTATCCTAAAGCATTTGATAAAAGGCGAGTGTATCTTAGTTCCTGCCCAGTAACAATTATTTTCAAATGAACATATACTGCGAATTGGAAAAGAGGTTAGTCAATGTACTTCTTTGGCACAAATATATAGTCGACACTAGAACCATAAAGTGTTGATGGGGAACATTACATTCAACCTTTTTTGGTATACAGGATCAAGATAGTTTTGTTGATTGCTTTTGCCATTAGTATAGAACTTCAATCAAAATATCCATGCTAGACTCTTAAACACGCACCCAGCAGAACATTTAAGATGTGAATTGATGTTACTCTGCAGGTATCTATCTGCAGCTTTGGTCAGATTCAAGAAGCCACAACAACGTGCAATATCTGTTGAAGTAAGATCTGTTTGGAGTTTATATCATCTCCTTATTTTGATTTAACCACAATCTTGATTTTCACTTTTCCGATTATTGTAATGCTTTTAAGACCTCAAATACTGATGAAGCTCGTGGATTCTTCCTTCTTCCGCTAGTTTATGGCTCCCAATATTTTGGAGTTTTGAAGTTTGAAGCAAAATTTCCTTCTTTATCATTTTCTTGCAGGTTGGCATGCAAAATTCCTCCCTGGGAGTGGTTTTATCAAGCTCTTATTTCACCTCACCCATGGTGGCATTACCTCCGGCAGTGTCAGCCGTAATTATGAATATCATGGGTGGCAGTTTAGGTTTCATTTGGAGATACATTGATCCTTCTGATCCAAAGGACAGTTTCGAAGTTGCCAAAGGGTGACAACGGCGGAAAAGCGGGTGCTTGTAGTCGAACTGTGTGTTCTTCTCTCGGTCATTCTTTACTTGTGTAGCCGATGGCCTTAACTCTTTGCATTTTAACGACTTCTTGCTAGATAAAACCAGTCCAATAAGGAGTTGTGGTTAACCTGCTCTTCAAACTTACAGTTTCTTTGGACTGTCATATCTTAATGCCTTACTGTAATTTTCTTGAACGGCATAAATTGTGATCTGAATTTCTGCGTAATCCTTCATTGGCAAAGAAGCCATGTGATTTTGAGCGTACATTTATTCATGGCGCAAACTTGTCGTATATTGCCCTAATATAAACTGAGTTGGTCTTTTAATCAGTTCATCGCAGTATTTATTTTGGAATAATCATTGAGTAGAGAATTCTGAAAAAACATAGCCCAGTTAAGGGAGGAATATTGAAATGCAAATGTCAATTACTTGGGTTCTCCACAACATCTTTAGATATAGTTTGTTTAGGGGATTTGTGGTGGAAAATTCGTAGCCGTGCCACTTTTCAGTATGATGAACCTCGACCCTATTCGAACTCCAGAATGTATTTTGTCAGTACCTTTTGATCCATATCAACAATAACCAAGGATGAAGGAGCCACTGAGTCAAGTATTATACTGTTTTCAAATATGTTCTTCTCGAAGTGGTAATTAGTAAGTCAAGGAATTGATTGACCCAAGGCAATGAGTCCGTTCGTGGTATAAGTCCTAAGAATGTCGCTTTCGAAGAGTTCTTTCTGAACATACTAGTACTTTGCAAAACAATGAACATATGTTTTTCAAAAAATTGGAAACTTTCTATGTCCACGCCGAAACAGTTAATAATAGGCATTTCGGGTGCTGGCAGCACGCCTAGAAAAAGAGTTGTGATGTACCTTTATTTTATAGTTCGATACAGTCTGATTTACACTTGGATGGAGTGGCAGGAGTTGGGGTGGCAGTTTCAAAAAATGACAGGTGAAATTAAACTACAACATATTTCCTAGTACTTGAAGCCTGCTAGCTTGGATTTCATACAGCTATTTCAAGAGAAAAACATGTGCAACATTAAACATTATTATATATTTCGGATTCCCCAAAGTTTGGTTCGTTGTTTTCAATCTTCGTGTCTCTTCTTGACAGACAAAACATTGTCCCCAATATTTTATCCCAGGCTGCATTCTCAACTGGCTCTGATTATCACTTATCTGAGGTATTCTCAGTGTCTTCAAATTCTGTTTATTCTTTTTTGAATCTCTATACATGCAACTGGATGATATTCTCATATTCTTTCGTACATAATTTACGTAGATGGTCTATGGGAAAAGTTCGTAGTCGAATCACAGTTTGATTGTAAGGTTTATTTTTGATTTTCTGGTTGAGGGCTTCCTTATTTTTTCCATCTTGTGCAGGCAAAATGTCTTGCAGCTCAACAGCTGCAAGGGAATTCACAACGAAGAAAGTAAACTCGTCTGAAAACATGGCTGAATCCAATGATTCGTTCCAACATGCCGTCTTACAAAAATTCTATGCCATATTCAAAAATCAACTAATAAGACCAGACGAGGAGAAACTAGAAGGGCTCCTCCCGGCCTTCGCCCTTCAATGCCATCAAAATTTGGTGGTGGATTTCGATATCCAACCTTGCTGGAGCAACAGTTGCTTCCTATGATGATCAAGTACGTGCTTGCACTAGCACGCTTAGCATATACGTATACTACTGGATTGTCTCGATTTTTCCCCTTTTTTGGGCTAATTTTTCCGTGAATTGTGATGAAAATAGGGGTGATGATGCAGTTGTAGCTCTATCAAGTGACAAATCTGAAGGAGAACAGCTAACAATTTTCTACATTTCTACGTTTAATTATTAAATTTAGAGTTTCTTGAATCATGCCAGATTGAGATTATGAGTTCAATTATTATTTTTTTTTTTTGGCTCGACAGGCAAAGGCCATTATGCTTCTGGCAGGTGAAACTTCTGTATCAGCTACAGTTGTGAAAAATGCATCAAATATTTCACAGAAATCACCAGCTTGCAAGTTACAACCAAGTAATTCTCGATTTTTCAAACTACAAGCTACAGCTTTAATAGCATAGATTGAACAGAATTTTGAGAAAAAATTTATGTAACTGACTTGTAAATATCACTAGTAGATTTGCCATATATTCTTAAAAGGAAGTCGAAAAAATTATTTTTGTTATTTTTTAATTTACAGAATCAATGTATTCTCACTTTCGTTTGCCTTCTTTCAGATCTTCCAATTGCTACAAAGCGTTCTCTGGAGCCTTTTTTTCAACAAACGACGAGACAGGTCCATACTCGTATACTATCCCTTGTTTGGATTAGATAAAAATTAGATAGATGCTCCCTCCTAAATTTCAAGGGCCGGGCTATTTGTCTAGGGCCATGCCAAGTGGTGCCCCCTATAGGTGGGGGCCTATCCACCTATAGGGGCGCCACTTGGCGATTAATCCAAATTTTGGCGGTTCTTATTTAGCTATGCTTGTCTACTATTCTTCAAAAAAAATTATTTCTTCGAAGATTCAGATAATAAAATATTTTATATGTAAAACACAAAACTTTTCCTTATAACCATACATTCTTCAAAAAATCAATATTCCAAAACTCATTTTCTCCAACAAAAAAAAAACTCTTTTTAATGGATATCAAACACAGGCTTAAAAACAAAATATAAATGAATATGAGTAATTCTTCACACAACAATTTAAACTTTTAGCTAAGACGATTAGAACGTTGTAATTGGTATGCAGGTTAATGAATAGAATTCCTCTCGTTCCTACTTCCGATGCACAAACCGAGGATGATTCTCAAACTGAAGAAAAAAATGGTTGGCGTAGTATGTGAATTTGGGTAACACCATTTGCTATTTGTAGTCAATCATGTTACATGTACATCATGGTTGACAACAAGTTTGACACTCTTCAATGTGATACCAATATATATTATTGATTTTAAACATATCTATCACATCACTGTCCAGATTCCTTCCACCTAAGAGGGATATCGTCGACCAAGGATGTACATCTAACTTAATTCATTTGTTGTTATAGTCGTACTTTTATTAAAACATTGTTATAATTGCATTTAACATATACATGCAAACACGGTATACAAGGTCTTTACTGAACAACCTTTTTCTATCGGAATCTTCACAAATTTTTCGTTTCTTCGCTCTCACTTATTAATATTTGGACAAAGCGTAACGTTTACTTCTCTTTTTTTTTTCTTCGGTGAGACGAACATAATTTGTTTGAAGAAATAATTCATCACGGACAATAAGGAGAAATTAGAGAATGTGATAATTTATCTTCTTTTATCAGTATGTCACGGGTTGCCACTATTAATTCTGTGGTTTGCGTTCTCCTCAGATAAAGGTTGGGACCAATGGCCTATGGCATCTATCTTTTTTTTTGAGGCTCTGAATTATTTCACCAATGTGTAGATAGAGCTTGTTTGGTTAGGCTTTTGAAAAATTAAAAAATTGCTTTTAAATATATCTGATAATTTTTTTCAAAGTATTTTGTGAGCTAAAAGGACCGCCCATATATTGAGAAAAATCAAGTTAATTAAACGGATAATTGCAGCAGCGGTACCAAATATTTCATTTAGTAGCAGACTTTACCCAAACATTTCATTTGTGACACGAACAGTACCAAACATTTCAAAATGTCCGAAGTTGAAGTCCAAATGGATGGTTTATGTTAGTTTGACCGATAGTTGACCAAATAATTGATTTTGACAATAATGTTGACTAGTTTTAAAAGGTTAAATGGTAATTTTACATTTTTTTAATATTAAAATAACAAAAATCAAATAATTAAAATTAAAACTCCACCCCACCCCAAATCTACAAATTTGGGTTTGGAACTTCGAGAACGCTTCAATAAGCTCGAGAATGGAGTCTCTAGAACCAAATGTGCGCTCTGTTGCAATGATAGTGGCTTTAAGGAACTTTGCCTGTGTATTTATCCTAAAACTTCATCTTGATTGACCATGGAATTAGAAACTCCAAACTTCATCCGAAACAATTCATCTTTTTCCCACCCCCACACTTACCCCCACCTTCCCTCACCCAATCCCAACCAAACGAACAAAAATCCACCCGCATCCATTGTGTGGACAATAGCAATCCATCCACACACAGGTTGCAATGAACGCCACAAGCACACCCGCAAATCAGCAACAAGAAATGGACCCCTACAAAATATATTAATTCCCTTTTATCATTTGCTTCTCAAGAAAATCATTTATTGTTGTTAGCCTTCTTTGCTAAAAAATTCAAGAGAGTTCTGGAAAGTGGCATTGAAGTGCCGGAAAATTGATTTTGTAATCCTTAAATGTTCAAGAGTTTTCTTTATTCGTTTGATAACTTAATTTTTTTTATGGAAATTGCGAAATGCCTACATTTCTAGCAGCAGTGTCTAAATCTTCAATTTTGACTGCACATATCTGCTCTTCGGATACCTCATTTTGAAATCTCTGATCGCTTGTTAAGGTCCAAATATCTAATCCAACCTACGTAGGTCTACATGGTTGGGAAACAGATTTCTGACGCCATGGATTTGAGGATTCGAAAAAGGTTGATTTCCCAAAATTGCAGATTTTGGGTGTAGGTGTGGGTGGGGGGTTCAATTATTTGATTTTGGTTATTTTATTATTAAATAGTGTAAAATTGTTATTTTAACCTTTTAAAAACAGTCAACAGTATTGTCAAAATCAATTATTTGGTTAACTAACACCCAAACTAACAGAAACCATTCATCTGGACTTTAATTGCGAACATTTTGAAAGGTTTGGTACCGTTGGTGACACAAATGAAATGTTTGATACCGTGGATGACACAAATGACAAGTTTGGGCAAAGGCTACTACTAAAAAAATAGTTGGTACCGTTGCCGCAATTATCCCTGAATTAAATTTGGTACACGTGCATTGATTATCTGCGGTCACCCATCTACCTCACTTTATAGAGACTGGCAAATATCCAACTAATAAACAAAATAGCAATTTTTGTTTATTTATTATGTGCCATATTATTTTGGAAGAATATATTTTGGAATAGTAGATCGATGGAGAATGTGTGGTTGAAAAAGAATGAAAAATTATTGATGTGGTGAAAAATATTATTTTATTGAAGAATGTGTGGTTGAAAATGAGTAGAAAAATGAGAACGAAAATTTTAACGTGACTCAATCAAGGACTTATTATGCTTGGTTTTAAAATTGGAATTTTTTTTTTTTTGAACTGCACTTATATAAGTTAAAGAGAGAATGAATATGACTGTTAAATCACATCATTTCAAAATTAAATTGAAATATGTATGTTTATCTTTTTCTAGACAAAGAAATCTCTATATTTGTACTATGACACGACTTATTCGTCTTATTATTTGTCTGTTTTGAGGATGAGATGATTCTTTCATGCTTTCTTGGAGAGTGAAGTAAATTTTCAACCCATCTTCTAACACTTTCTTTAAGTAATTTGTAAAATAAATAAATAATTGCATCCTATTTAAGAAAATTAATAATACCATATTAATTATATGGAATAATAGTCAACATTATTTCAACTCTTGCAGAAGGAAGGGAAAATTGAAAAGATACATTGTGTTTTGCTAAGCATGAGTTGATGATATACATCTCAACTTAAATTGAAATATCCATCATCTCCATAGCCAAATTCTCCATCATCAAGGCTTCCACTTCTCCACTGCACTGCATCTTCCCTGCAAAAATTTAATTTAATTTTCAAGTAATCAGGGCCAAGTTGGCAGTGCTTGAAAAGCTACTTGAACATATTTGAATAAGGGTCCGTTTGGCATGTCTTTTGCTTCTAGTTTCTGTAGAAGAGTTTTCGAAAGAAGTCACCTTAATTTTTGTTTGAAAATTACTTTTAGAGGAAGCCATATTATACCAGCTTCTTCTAACAACTCTTCTGACTGGAAGAAACACTTCCATAAAAGCGGATAATATTTTTTTGGAAGTGTCATAATTAGAAGAACTTTTAGAGGAAGTTGATCTAACGTAACTTCCTCGTAAAGCACTTGTATAAGAAGTTGAAGCCCTGCCAAACAGACGTTTAGTAGTAAGTACACGATAACTCGATTAATTAAAGATAATAGATTAAATTTACCACCGTAAAAGGATGATGAGTTCTTGAGGTTGGTAGTTTTGATGGGGAAAGATGGTGCTGAGAGTGGAAGAACTGGCAAATTTTGGCAATTGCAAATTTCAATCATGTAGCCATCAGGATCATGGAAGAATATCTGATCGACTATGATCCCACCTTCTTTAACAACTGCTTTCACATATTCTATATTCATTTCTTCTAATTTCAGAATAATCAGATCCATGTCAGTGCATTGGAATGATATGTGATTGTCCTTTGGGTTTATTTTCCCTTTCTTTTGTGGGATTTTCTCTGCTCCAAGTAAATGAATTCCAATTCCATGGTTGAACAACCTACAGCAAAAATCAGATTTTCAATAGATTATATCTCACGACATGCTCGTGAGTCGGAGTTAGAAGTATATTTCGATTGAAAAAAAAGATGTACAAAACATATAGCATACCAGGCTCCTTCGAAGTCGAACGAAGAGGGTCTTTTGATGAGGACGAACCCCAAAACTTCCTCGTAAAATTTAACAGATCTTCGAACTGATTTGCAAATAAACGAGACATGATTCAAAGACAAATCAGGCAATTTATTTTCTTGGTTTGAAGATTCGAATACTTCAACAATTTCTCTCCCCATCTCGACTCTTTTCTCTCTTCAACTCACTCTTGAGTGATATGAAAATGAGTAGAACGTGATATATATAAGCAGAATATGATATGATAACCATTATGAAATAGGGTAGGTGGAACTGCGATTCATTTAATTTTTTATTCAATTTAATTTTTTATTTTCTTGAAAATAATACATGTCAATCCAACGTGTAATAATGGAGTGAAGAAAATTCATCAATGTTCACCTGCCTGCCTGCCCTAATCTATTCACACTCGAACAAAAGAGTGACACAAGCAAATTGTATTGGAGCTATGCTATTCAAACAGGGCTGGGGACACGGGATTTAAACAGATGCACCTCAACCCTTGATTTGAATGATTGTAATTCAAATCAAGGGCCGAGGCCTGTTTCAATCCCCACTCCAACCCCGTTTGAGTAGCATTAATCGATTGTATTCTTGTAATGATGCCTCTAAATTTTCAACTTCTCATAATTAGGTGGTTTTTTGGATAAGTTAAAAGTCGTTAAAAAACTGAAATCAAAGTTAAAAATTAATTTTAACCATACATTTTATCGGATCTACTTCCTTTTATCAACGTTTTAACTACATATTTCATCATCTTCTTCTTTTTTATTATCAAAATCTGCTAAAACTTTTGTCAAAATCTTTATCAAACGACCTCTAGATCTTGATTATAAGAAAATTTCTTTGTATATATATGCATTTTCAAAATCTTTATCAAAGTATTGCAGTTAAGAAATTCAAGTTATCTCTTTTTTAAGCAAAGCCAAACACGCTTTCAAAAGTTGTATACCAAAAGTAATTGCATTTACGGTTAAGGGATTTTTTTTGGTAAGAACACACGTTTTTGTACATGCAATCTCTACCATGATAAGGTATATTTTTGAAAAACTACATTACTTTTTTCTTCTTTATTTCCCCAGTCTATTCTAGATGTTGAAGGCGCCACTAGAGAACGCAATGTATACCAAACACATTGGGACCTTTCATTAATGAAAGAATAATAAGACATTTTTTTTATTTATAAATAAATAAAAAATACAAATGTTTTCCCCCTTTTGCCCTCATTCTTATAAGTTAAATTAAACCTATTATGTAAATAGATCGAGGTTAACATGGCCTCACCGTGAAAATTTTAATTGTAAGTAGAGATGACAAAAAAACACGTTCAACCTTATACCTGCGGGCCCCATCCCAAACGGGGCGAGATTTACCCGTCTAACGGGATAAACGGGACGGGGATCGAACGAGGTCATTGTCCCGAAACGAGTATGGGATAGGTCATAGGTATGGAAAACATAGTATCACCCCATTTATAGTTAATTTCAAATTTATGTTTTTATCAAACAAAAATGAAAGATTCATCGTCATTTTTAAAGAGAACATGAGTTGTTATTAGTAAATTGGAAAAAGAAAAGTAATAATATTTACTGATTAAAAGACATAAAAAATAAAAGTAAAAAACGGGACGATAAATGGAGCAGGGAGCCTACCACGCTCCGCCTCGATCTCACCCCGAATTCGTTCCGCCCTGCTTTAATCGGGTATGAAAATATGATAAGGTAACAAAAATATACGACGGAATGGGGGGCAAGAATGACCGACCCATCTCATACCCATCTCATTATCATCCCTGATTACAAAAGATCTTTCCGAAAAAGAAGCAATTGACTGAGAGGAAAAGAATTTAAATGATTTATATTAAATATATTGAAAATAACGTTTAACGATTTATCAACACAAAATTGTTTCTTGGTCCGTCCTACCACAAAAGAATAGTCAAATCAAAACATTCAATTGCCAGCACGAAACATGCAAATTTGGAAATAAGTAAACTAATCGTATTTAAAAGATTGCACAATCATACTGTATGAACATCAAAGTTGATATAAAATTTGACATAATATCACAGTTTAAAGTACAATCAGCTTTTCTACTGTCACACGTGATTATGTCGAAATTTCTGTCAAATCCTTCTGGCAAACTACCTTTATCGTTGCAATTAATATGAGTTTACTAATTGCATCCAATTAGAGGAGCTTGCCCACTCGTATTTAATCAAGAAAGCTTATTAAATTGTGCATTCCTTTCTTTCACGCCTACACACCACATTTTTTTCTACATTCTCTTTCTTCTTTAAATGACCAACATCAAGAAAAGCACGTACATACATTATAATTATACAATTAGTGGATGAGATTCGAGTCGACCCCACTTATTCTAAATCCTAATTATTATTATGGCCCACATTTAAAAAAAAAATTCTCTTTCTTAATTTTAATCACAAATTCTCTCATCTCAACCACGCATTCTCTCATCGATCACTGTTCCAAAATTTATAATTTACACAAAATGGGGACCAAACGCTAGCTATACAAGTCAAGAAATCGTGGTTTTTTTCTTATCATAACAATTTAGCTTATCATATTCTCAATTATTGTCTTCTTAATCAATCTTTCGTTAAAGTCAAAGATCCAAACGTGTTCGTACAATGGTACTCCTTTTTCTCAAACTTGCATTTCATGCACATTGTTAATTTATTTGATCATATTAAAAACATTCGTACACACATACTCATAATAAGCCCCGTTTGGGCTTCATTATTTGCCATTTTAATTTTTTAAATAGCATTTTTTTTTTTTTAAAGAATGTGTGGATAAAAAGGAAAAAAAAAATTTTAATTTAGCCCCCGTTTGTTTCTCATTTTTCATCCATAAAATGAAAAATATGACCGTTATCCATCACATCAAGCCATCAATTTTGAATTTCTCTCTTGTGTAAGGCCCAATAACGACTATATTTTTCATTCTCATTCTACAATAATGAAAATCAAACGGGCTCTTACGTACAATATTATTTTATTGAAAAATATATGATTGATAAGAACAGAAAGAAAAATTAATTATAATTTTAGGATTAATCTAGCTGTACATAACCATCTACATAATGGTGAGGTGGCAATCATCCACTTATTGATGTGTAAGTGTAAAAGTTGAATTAAAGGCAGGATCACATACCACGTGTAATTATGTGAATAGTTATGTACCTGTAGCATTACCCATAATTTTAATAGGCCGGCTAACATTAATAATTGAAGTATTAAGAATCTCAATAATTGTAAGTCGAGGTGGCCCGCATGGTCACTTCCATTTAGACATGTCAGTCGGTTGAGAGTGCAAGTAGTGAAGATCAATGAAGACAGTTTTGCTACAGGAATAATTCTTCTTTACCATGCCCTGGTAATGTCCAGCATGGCCCCGGTAATGTAGCAGGTTTCTTGCTACATTGCATGACAATTTTGACCCATTTTTTAATAAAATATCACGTGACATTCTATCGTTCGCGCATTTGAAAAACACAACTTTTTTTGCACAAATGAAAATCCGCCGACACTGCTTCTGTCAAAGGAGTGGGCACCGAATTCTAGCAAAACGGCTTATTATTTTTCTTTTTTCTTTTTTTTAATTAACTGTCGTACCATCGAAATGTTTTGCCTTTTCTTTAATAATTATTTATGCTCGTATTTTTGGAAGGATAGAATTATTTTTTTCATAAAGTTGAAGAAATATATATATATATAATCTCTCTTTTTTTTTTTAACAAGTATCCAAAAAAAGCTAGAAGACAATAAGGAAAAACACATTTATTATTCCTTTCCCAATTCAAATTTATTTTCTTTCCTTATTTTCCTCAAAACTGGTTAAATCTTAAAATTATTCATTCACATGCAAGTACTGTAAAATATTTTCATTGTTCTCCCTTCTGCCAAATACATCATTTTTGTTTGAAGTTATTAGCGATTTAAATGGAGCATGCGAAATTGGTAATCAAGTTTAATTACTTATTTTCTCTTCTCGAAATTAATTTTCAAATTTGATGTTTAACATAATGTATGATTTCAAGCAGGACTGTATTTTGAAGGTCGATATGCGCTGTGATGCATGTAAGAGGAAGACATTGGAAGTACTGAACTCCATTTGCGGTAATTAATTACAATCTTCCGAAGATATTTATTCGTATTTATCTTCAACACATTCGTAAATAAATGAATAGCAGCATGAGAATTGAAAAAAAAATAAAATATTCCGACGTAGTCGTAAAATTATTTGTTTTCCTCCATTTTGCAAGGTGTGTATTCTGCGACCTTTAGTGCAAAAGAAGGGTTGGCAAAAATATGGGGCGAGGTGGATCCAAATCTACTTCTAAGCGCCTTAGCAAGAACTGGACAACATGCAGAGATTGTATGGGCCAAACTCGACCATCCAAGAATCGATAGAGGTTACTATAATGACTATAATGCTTATGGTGAACATTATAGGTACTCTAATTATGGTTCGATAGAGGACACCAATTGGCACCGGAGGGCATTGCCGGATTCATCCTACAACCAAAACTACTACTATGATGCTACTCCGCTGCCTGCAGCTAGGTATGTTCCATCATATACAGCGCCAGAATATCCATATGTTGAAGATCAATCACTGGGTTTTTGCAATATAATGTGACAGCTTATATATAAGTTATTGGGAATGTTTTTCTTTCAGTTTTTGATACTGGATATGCCAGAATGGCCTTTATTTTATTTGCAAGCCAAGATTTGAAGGGCTAGTAGAGGTGCTGTTTTTTTATGATGTATAATGACTTTTTCCGGATTCAGACAACCCATGTTGAGCTAAAAGTACTAAGCCTTTAAATGACTGACCTTGAACTTCGATTTCAGAATCAGTGTATTAAACTTTTGCCCTCTCATCGGTATGTTCAGCTTTAGCAGTTGTAATCTTCACACACTTGCTAAGGAACCATTACTCGTGTTTGTCAAAGCAAATCCAGAATTCATTGATACCATAATTATCTCCACATAGTGTTGTTCCTTCTTCATCCTCGTTGTCTTCCTCTTCTATTCATTCTAACTCTTCTGTCATTGCAGATTTCTCAACACCCCCTTGAGCTTTGAATTCAGGCTGTCCAGATTGCTATGAGAAGTTAAAAAGATGAAGCTCCATAGACTATAGTAGAATTATATGAGAAAACAAGATTAAAGCCTCTTTGGCTAAGATTAAAAAGTTAACTTATAAGTAAATAAATTTTGAAATAAATAATATTTGTTATCGGTCAAAGTTGGAAGTAAGTTACTATTTGGCAATAAGGTACCAAGATAAATTTTTGTACTTGAAAATAAGAAATCCAAACATGCTTGGAATTAACTTTGCTGTTCTAAAATATTAGCCAAATATGCTACGCTATGGGAAATAATACTAACCATACTCTGACTTGATTTGTTCTTGCTGTGGTTATCCTGAGCAGCAGCAGCCATGTCATTTGCCTGCTTAAGAGCTCCAGTCACAACAACTACCGTTGGATGATCATCAATCATCTTGAATAGCCTTTCCCTGTGAAAACAAATTTTCAACCAATGTTAGAACCAAATATGGTTTTAAAGGTTCCTTTATGATACATATAGATACGTAATTTAATCATCCCGTACTCTTCTTCCAACAATGCTAGCAAGCTAACATCCAAAAACAGTAACATATACCAACATCTAGTGGAATACACAAATCATCTTAATAACTGTAGACACTCGCACCCAAGGTTTACTACAATTACTTGAAATGCCCTCGATAACATCCTTTTTCGATTGGGTATTGTTTAGACTATTCATGGAGCCCGTCAATTAGTTAATTATAGACATATGCTAGTTAATGGTACATGTATGTGGGTTTTGTGAATTTGTTCAAGCTCAGAATATCCGATCAAAATTAACCACAGCCATCAACTAGTTAAGCATAGCCAGAGTCTCATAAATTGTAGATCAAAATCTGGAAATATTTGTTTCTACAAATATAATGCCACATCAAAAAAGCAGTTCACTAGAAAGACACCAATCTAACAAATACATTACCTTCCACTCATATGATGTAATGGAGAAAGTGCCGTTGGCTTATTTGGAGGAATGGGACAATGTGAATGGGAAGGGGGTCAACCATCAATTGCATAGAATTTATCTGAATTCAAATCTTCAGAATTGGTATTTATGATAGGTCAACCTCGTAAGTTAAGAAAGAACAACCATATGCTTAAAATGACATCAATGTGAAATATATTACTGCACAATAATTGAAGATCTACTAATGTTTGTCATAAAATGCTATTGCCAACTGTGCATTTTATTTATTCCCGCAACTTATGTAAAAATTTGACGTCTGAGAATTTAACATTTTAAGAATCATATATTTCTAACCAAAACAAACATCTAACATACAAGAGAACAATGAGTTGAGAATTATACTCTACGACTTTATGTGATACATTTGTGAATAAACAACTATTTGATGCTCCAATAACAACTTCTGAAATTAACCCAACATGAACTGAAAAGAAAATCAGAATCTTATCCTTGGCAAAACCAGAAAGCTAAAATACTTCTAGTCTAAATCGTGTAAAAATGGGGTAGCAAAGATGATGCAGTCTGCAGGATCATAATTCCCCATGCTCAGAGAATCAAAGGAAAAGCATGTCGTCCAAACATGCCTAACTGAATTCATAGAGAGCTGGTACCAGAAACCATTACAAAATACATTATAAATGCACTAACATGTGACAAAATACATTATAATTGAGATTCTGGGGAACCATAAATAGAAAGCACAGAGGAGGTCTTCAATTACACAGTAGCCTTTAAAAAAGAAAAGAAAAACACAGCAAACTTTAAAATCATTACTTCTAGAATCATGCAGGATATACATCCATCTTTCAACATTTATCCCAGTTTTCATAGATAAAATGAACAAAATACAGATTGCGTTAGATTTTCAGAAATATTTATGACTCTTGGAAGTTTTCAGGCTTAATCTAATGGTATATAATTTTCAAATATTCTATGCTGATGTTCAGACTTTTAGAAGATTTTCTTTGCATTAGCACCATTCTCTAGTACTAAAATTGGTCAATATCAGAACCGCCCACAGCCCAACAACACATATACCCCAAAAGCATTATTAACATTATCGACCAGGTGCGTATAGTACTTAACTATTTGATACTCAACTTTGTCCTAATACAAATTTTCTTGAGAAAAGTAAAAGGTAATAATGATTGACCAATCTTCTTTCTATGAGCGAAAAATAGCAGCTATAAACATGACGATAACACTAAAGGGACAAACGAATTATATCCAAGTGCTCTGCCTCATGTAATTATCAACTCTAAGGCCACTCTGCATGTTGGGCAAACATTCGCCACACATGAAAGAATGGGTGATAATATTACAGAACTTACCCTCAACACCCATGTGTCTTAGCCATCCATAATTGACTATATAGCCTGTTTGCAGCTGCCAGTGGTATATGGTAAATACTTGTTTTCCCCTCATATGCACTTTCCTAAAATATCATGACAGGAATCAAAAGCCAACCCAAATTAGGAAAGTCCGTAATCTACACATTATGGAATGTGAGTATCCTACAGCTCCGGCGATCCCAGTAAATCAAAACCATTTGTGTATAAACCACCAACTTACCAAGCAATCAAATCATGCATGTCATATGGAAAAGGTTGCACATACGTAGTCTATCATTTGATCAAGGTAAAGCCCAGGTGAGCTGCTTAAAAAATTCAGAAGCTTGTGCCTTACGGACGATGTGCATTAAATTCAGCTTATAGTATGAACGAGTTATTGATGTCTGTGACTTTTTTATTGAACTCAGACCCCATAATTCATTTTTATCACTATAACTCAACCTATTCTATCAAAAAAATCCTACAAATCATATTCATGTACCAGCATTAGCCCATTTTGTTGTACCGCTTGTCATAATCTCCACCACAATCGCCGTAGTCATCACTAACACCAGTTACACCACAACGATTTGCCATCACCATCGCTTCATCATCATCCTACTCATCATTGTCATCATCTATACTGTATCTATTGTCGTCTCCTTTCCTTCTCCCTCCTTTATTGAAAGAATTCCTCTTTTTATGTCCAAAAAATACAGATCTAATTGGTTTACCCCTTCTCAACACCCTGTTCATGAGATTAATATACTTGTACCTCATACCCATTAACAGATGCCTCTCAATTAACAGATTTTTCTTATATTCCTCCCTCAAAACTACAGTCTGCATCCTAATCTTATTAGAAACATAAAAAATGCCAGGGAAATGCAACAAAGCCTTCTTAAACCTAAGGCGTGTGAATCCCAAAAACTCTCCCAGACGAAAAATATTTTCTCTGTCTGTCTTTTTCGACAATAGCAAGCTCAGCAACTCGTGAATCACCCCCACTGCCCACTTCTCTGCCTGATCACTATTAGGAGCCAGATGAAATGCATTTTCATAAGGCGAAATGTATGGCAAATTCTGCCACTCCTCCACCCATTCCATCACTCTCTTCTCCAAATCAAACCCTCTCGGTAAATTCATCAAGAACTTAAATCGTCTTTCACTTTCGCCATCACTCTTTGCTCTCTTTTCCATAGCAGAAACAGCCAAGTCTTTCCTCCAAGAAACCAATTCCAAACCAAGCACCACATTACCACTTGAATCCCGAAAACCCAAATCAGAAATTTGAAAAAACTCAGGAAATTCTGGCAATAATGTCAATAAATAATCATGAGGCAGACCTAAATCATACTGAAACATATCAATTAAATCCAATGGAATCTTTAGACCTCGCGTGAGCATCAAAAGTTTTGCCAGCCTTTCCGCTACATCTTTCCGATAATGTGATAAACTAAGCATCAACATTTCCTCGTGATGAAGGGAGAGGGCTTTTGGAGTGAGCTTAACATGAGGAAGGGGCATGGTTTTGCCAGGGGGGAGGAACAATTTAAAAATGGATGGGTACTTTTCTATAAATTTTTGGGCAGTTGTGGGGAGGTGGAGATGGGGTTTCAGAGGGGAAACAGAGGAGAGGGGTATCGTTTGGGAGGGCTGTGAGATGATTAGGGTTTTCAGTAAGAGTAAGGGTTTAAGATTTTTTTCCTTTTCGACGGCAGTGTCGAGGTATGGATCGCGGACCCATTTGATTCTAGCGTTTATAAAAGTGCGGATCAACTGGCGGTGACGGTGGTAGTGAGATGCGGAGGCGGTGAAGTGGAGGAGTTGTTGCATCGGTGACGGCGGCAGAGTGGAAGATTTTTTTGTCCGATGAATTTATTTGTGTGCAGCAACGTCTACGAAATTCAAATAAAAAAATATTTATATCAGACAAACCAAAATTGTATATAAACTAGTCTTTCACCCGTCGCACGGTGAATGCACAAATTATAAATTTCATAACTCACAAAAATAAATTTCATAATTTACACGGACAGTTATAGTGTAAACTGTACAAATATTTAATTAGATAGAAACTGTAAAAACATATCGCACTGTGGACGCACAAATTTTAAATTTGATAATTCACACGGACAGTTATAGTATAAAGTGTACAAATATATAATTGGGTACAAAATGTAAAAAATTTAATTGGGAGTTAAGACATATTCATTAAAAGCAACATTTTAATTGGATACAAACTGTAAAAATATTTAACTGGGAGTTAGAAAATATTCATTAAAAGCAACATCGACTAAAAGTTTTCGTTTGTATTCACACATCTTGTCGGACGAAATTGATTCAATTGGTTGTCCTAAAATGAAAGATTCTATGTATTTCAGTAAAAAAAAACTCCAGAATTAGGCCTGAAACAACATAGTATTAGAATATATTAGTATTGTTGATACGAAAGTAAATTGGAAAATAAATTTAATACCATGGTGATTAGTATGTAAATGCTTACCCACTATTTGTGCAATGAGCCATAATTTGCATCTCTTTTTTCCAAAATTTTCTTAACTCATCTCTGACAGACAACATCCCAGAAGAGACCACTAAACCCTGAAATAATTTGAATGTTGATTTTGCATGTAGTTTTAATTGGT